AAAATCTTAACTTTTTTGGAGAATATAGGAAATATAGGATAAATGTCTGAAATAGAGGACATTATAGGACCATTTTCAAATATATATGAATTATAGGAAATATAGGACGATTACGAAGCCTGTTATTAATCAAGAAAATAAAATATTCTTATTTTTTATGTTTATTTAAATAAACAACAACAACAACAACAACAAACATACAAAAAATGAATTAAATGTTCTTTTAAAAATAATCGTTACATGAGCATTGGCCATTCGTATGGAAGTAATGGATACGATTTACATCACGAACGATTATTGTACATTGACGAATGGCTGCTATTATTTTTGTGGCACGATCTAAATGAAAATAAAACAAAAGAATACAAAAATAAATTATAAATGATTACATACGACAATCACCACAAACACGAAGATTTTTCCTGACAAAAATTCGTGATGGTTTTCGATTGTCAATAAAATGCCATGCAATAGCCAACTTTTCACTATGTCCACAAAGGACTGATTCAACGGTTTCATCTGGATCCAATGGTCGTGTGATCCAGCTTGCATCATATTCATGCCCATGTGCAATAAGTTCTTTTGACATTTTCTCGACTTCTGCATATATATCAGCTGTTCGAGGATGAGATCGATCATGAGCTCGAAAATCCTATGAAAACAATTTAATATGAACGATATAGAAGATAAATACTATAACTATGAACTTACGAAAGACCATCCATCGACTATAGTCGATGAGATACCGGATCTCTTCTTAGCACCTGATTTATTTAATTCGATTCTAATATCTGATGCTTTGTCGATTTCACCGGATGAACCGTAAACATTGGCAAGAAGAATAGCAGCTGATGTTAATGGATTTTTCATATCAGAAAAAAGCTTCTTCATGCGACCATAAACTTTTTGTGACAAACAACTATTATTAATATTTCGAGCACCTGATAATAATGCCACTAAAATAAAAAAACAAAGTAATTTAATTAAATATCATTATTTATCAAAATAATATTTTTCATTTAGACAAATTTCATTATTTAATAGACAATGATTTTCCACTAAACGTTCATCAAGATTTTTGTAACTCGAAACTGGCACTTTGTTCTAACGAGAAACAAAATATTGTCAATATTGAACTTAGATATCATCATGAAATTGAATACTTAATAAAGTCAATAATATCCAGAAAGTCATTTTAAAAAAATAAATATCTGACACTTGTGGATTGAGAGAAGTTTTCTATTATGCTTTTTTCGTTGATTTGTCAAAGGGCAGGATCTTCTAAGTATAATAAAAATCTCAATATTGATCTAACTCTTCGTTAATTTTGATCAATTTTTAAATTATTGAATATATGGAATATAGTCTTCGCATATCGAGAAAATAAAAAAGAGTTCTAAAAAATCCGAAAAAAAAGTTTGAAAATTAATTGGAATGTTTTTCTTAATTGAAAATTAATCGAAAATATTCCATTCTTAATTGTAACATCGACCTATTATTGATTAAAAACAATACTCACTATACATAGTTGATACAGGTGAATGATCACGTTCATATTCATTAATTAATTCTTCTGCTTCTTCAAAATAAGATGCACGAGAAAGACAATCGATCTAAATTAACACATGAATAGAAAATTATTTCAAGTTAAAAAAAAACAATCTTTCTAATATACCATAGTACCATAAATTCTCTCTGTTTTCATTTGAATATTTTTGAAGATTAAACGAGCTTCATTAACAAGTCCTGAATGTGAACATGCATTTAAGACACAAATATCAGTCACTTCATCTATAAATTCACGTGGCATCCGATGATAAAGTTCAAGTGCTTTAATACCCATTCCATTCAAACCATAAGCATTAACTAATTATCAAAAAATGAATAAAAAACTTTCTTCAAAGAAAAATCATTACAACAAACTCATTGTTGAATATCCGATTTCATCTGGTTGCCGAATTTTTTCAAATATTTGTTCTGCTTCATCAACACATCCAATTTTTTCCTGAATTGATTTTATTCAAGTAAAAAAAAGTGACAAAAGCAAATTTATTTCAACATACCCTCATATCAATTAATGCGGTTTGCAGGCGATTATCAACAAGAAAAGAGTTAGGAATTTGTTTAACTATCGCTTCAATTAATGAGTCATCACCATAGTGTGATAATGCTTTAATAAGATAAAGATAAATAATAATATCTGGTTCAATACGATCAAGTTTCATTTGATTAAATAAATCCAATACTTTTGAAAGATTGTTTTCTTTATTATATCCACTCATCATTGCTCCATACATTGATAATACTTTTATTGTTGATGCACGAAATAATGTTTGAGCATATTCCACATCACCACATTTCATTAATGCATCCAATAAAGATGTTGAAAGATTTGAATTTGAAAGAAACGATTTCGGAATTTCTTTTGAAACTTTCTTTGCTAAATTTAATGCAGCAGGTGTATCTAATTGAGCACATGCATTAAATAAGAGCATTATAATAATTTCATCGGGAGCTTGAATTTTATTGAAAAGATCAATGACTTTATCCGGCATATTGTTTTTCATATAACCTATCAATAAATTTGCAAAAAAAATCATTTAGAAATGTAATAATTGCTACCTTTCATCATTGCTCCATATATTGACAATGATTTCTCTTTGAAATTATTGAATAATGATTCAGCACTATTCACATCACCACATTTCATTAATGCATCCAATAAAGATGTTGAAAGACATGGATTCGAAAAAAACGATTTTGGAATTTCTTTTGAAACTTTTTTTGTTAAATTTAATGCATCACGGTTTTCTAATTGAGCACAAGCATTAAATAAGAGTGTTACAATAATTTCATCAGGAGCTTGAATTTTATTGAAAAGATCAATTGCTTTATCATCCATATTATTTTTTATATAACCTATCAATAAACCTGCAAAACAAATTATTTATAAATATAATAATTGCTACCTTTCATCATTGCTCCATATATTGACAATGATTTCTCTTTGGAATTATTGAATAATGATTCAGCACTGTTCACATCACCACATTTCATTAATGCATCCAATAGAGATGTCAAAAGACGTGGATTTGAAAAAAAAGATTTTGGAATTTCTTTTGAAACTTTTTTTGTTAAATTTAATGCATCAAGAGTTTCTAATTGAGCACATGCATTAAACAAGAGTAGTATAATAACTTCATCAGGTGCATGAATTTTATTGAAAAGTTGAAGGGCTTTTTCTGCCTTGTTGTTTTTTATGTAACCTTTAGAGAACTGTTTAATAAAAACAGAGCTATTAATATAATAAATATTACCTTTCATCATTGCTCCATACATGATTATTGTTTTGTTTTTCGACATGTCAAAGACTGATTGAGCACGGACAACGTCACCACATTGCACTTTAAGCAAAAGAAGATAGAAGAAAAAAATTAGTATTGAAATTTACTGTATAGATGAATTAATGATCCTGATATGTAACAATCAGTTTTTATACGAGAGGAAATGAGACAATGAATAATCAATCCACGTTGAAGATCACCCATTTGTGTACATGCTTTTAAAGCTTGAGTAATTATGAAACTGGATAAATTTTTAACATCATTTTCTTTGTATTTATCAAATAATTCCAATGTTTTTTTAAACTGTTTCTTCTCATTGAATGATTTTATTTGAGCGTCGACATCACCATTAGATTTAAGAGCAACAAAACGTTTCATAAGAATTAATTGAGATGTTGAACGATAATATAATAATGTATTGAACATTATTGTTTAATTTATTTTTTAGTTTCATGTGCTAGAAATAAATAAAAATGGAAAAGTGAAGAAAACCAACGACAAAGATTAAAACTTCTTCTCTATTAATCCTATTGGGTGACAATCTGCAACCGATGAAGAGTAGTCGAAACGGATAGATAGATAGAGTCAAAAAAAAAGAAATTGTGACAAAAATGTAATAAATAATAATACATGTTTATTTATATTTTTTATGTTGGCAAGAAGGGAGTTTCATGTGAATGAGGGCGCAACAGTACATTTATGATGGATGAAAATGGGTGCTTAATAAATTTTCGTTGAATAAAGTAGAAACGAAAGGTGTCACTCAGTTAATTCCATTGTTTTTACTGTAAGTTCCTCGTTTTAGTTTGTCAGAACACGGTAATATGACAAAATTTTTTTATTACTAATACATTTTATATTCTGAAAAGAGCAGCTTCTAAAAATGAGTCTCATACATCAACGTGAAGCTATCACAATGGTCACCCATGTTTTGAATATAATCCATCAATGAAAAAACGAACTATGAAATACAAACCCGTTATCCTTAGTGACCAAAGCGTGATGGTTGAAGACTGCCAACAATTAGAACCTAAATTGTAGATGCAAACTTTAAAATTCTCATAATTTCCAAGCCATTCTACCATCTTCATATTACTTAGCGTCGTACAATGTAACAGATGTCATAGCCCATTCAGTTGTTCTATATCAACAGATGATTTTCCACGATATCCGATGCGTCCACCAAACACAATGTAGACCCTTAGACAGAGAAGAGTGTTCCTTGCCTTAAAAGTATCTGACGCGACAACTATTTAATCGAACATCCACCAGCAAATTCCAGTTATTTTTCCAGTTGAACAACTTTCTCCATAGACTTCGAGATCTTCAACAACTTTTGAAACGCAAATCCAAACCCGAAACCAACTCTCAATCTATTCTAATCTAATTGAGCTGATCAATACACGGAATTCGAACCAAACTGTATTGTACACGATAGACATACGAAATGAAACACTAGACTACACCCAAATCCGATGCAAACAACAATGATCGACACATCTCCTACACTAACACGCAAATTATATTACTCAAACTAAAAAGAATCCTACATAAAAAATATACTCGAGTCGCCGATAAGTTTCATACTTTAACGAATTCTTCCTTTGTTGGCGCTGGGACCTCATAGTAGATTTCGAAGCTAAATATTGCAGCATGACAACTATTCATGCGAGACATGTCAGACATCATTAAATTAAATTCTCTATCAAATTCGCAAATGGTTCTCTCTCAGTAATGAATTTCATAGAAAAAAAGAATTGTTCCGTCAATGGCACTAGAGGCTAGTCGTAGATATTCAAAATTCATCTTTATGCTTGAAACTCATCGTCGAGAGAGGCATTATGCATTGCTTAATTCAGAATTAAAATCTCTGTCAAATTTACGAACGATTCTCTTTTGGCGATGAGTTTCAATAAGAAAAAAGTCGTTCCATCAATAGGGATACAGTGTCCGGTAGGATACTTCAGTTTTGGTTTGAGGGTTAGATGTATTTGTTGGCAAATTATGTATTTGTTTCATTGCGTTGGTAATAGAGTCGTTTGGATTCTATCGAAAATCCTCTGTTGTGTTTAAGGCATTCCCTGTCAAAAATATCGATTTTTGAGCTTTCTACATGATCAAATAGCCCACATTTTCTACTTTGGGAATCACTATTATTCTTAATTTTTACGATGATTTCGAAAGCTTTTCTGATAGTTTTTTCACCGTTTTCAACAGATTTTGTGAAAAATTCACAAACAGAACATGTTTGGTAAATTTTAATTTTTGAATCTCTGTGACCTTGTCTATAGGCTTCTGACGTGGAGAACATATTCCGCATGCTCTAGCAAGTGCGCTTCATGTATTTCATCGATGTAGTCTCACGTGAATTACTCTACAAAGGAGAAAAATCTGGACTTCTAAAGTTCAACTTTGTTTGACGTTTTTCTCAAAACAAGGTTTTTTTGTTTTTATTGTTCGTGCATCCCAAATTTCTCAGTTGTTTTACATGCTAGAAAGCTCGGAAAGGTTTTAAATTGAAGAGAAAAATATGCTTAACAATTTAACAGAGCCAGATTTTCCAGTTTTGACTTAGTTTTTGAGAAAACTTGACACGAAAAATTAGCAAAGAATAATTTTAAAAATCAGGTTCTGTTAGGTTGTAGTGGCAACTGTTGGCTATATCTTATGCCAATCAGAAATCTGTCTCATTAAATTGAGGGGGGAAATTTGGGACGTACGGAGACCTACTTTTTGGCGCTTGATATAGGGATAACTCTTCAAGAACTCAATATTTTGGACTGAAATTTTACTGTAAGCTTCCTAGACCTATACCCATATTTCCTGTAATTTTTCGCTACAACGGTTGTGCTGGGACAAAAATAAATTTTTGACAAGAGGAGAGTTAAGACTAGAATGAGGAAAAAATTTTATCTCATGTTTACCCGAATATCATTCCCGTTGTTTTTGAAGTCGATTCGAGTAGAATGGGAATGTTTGGAAAGAAGTGGAAGATTGCGTTGGTATTCGAAAAAAAGGCGTTGACAAAGTGATATCTTTTGTTGAATTATTGTTTGGATGGAAGTTTATCTGTCCGAAAGATTTTAAACGCTTAGTTTTCATTTGTGAAATTGATGAATTTGCATCTGTTTATTATACAGTTATGATGTATATAATTTAGAAAAAAAAATTTCATAGGATGTTGATGATTATAGGAGTATACGCATTCTCTTGTTGATTCTGTACAAGTGTTAGAAATTTTTCGAGGATGAAGCGATAAAGTTTATTTTTAAAAGTATTCTGACCTCTTTTTTGTATCATCAGTATGTCGGTCTCATATTTAGAAGGAAATAGTGTTTTGGGAATATATTGTTCATGTGTGCAGTGCTTTTGTTTTGTTTTAATATAAGTTTTATCAGCTATCTAAGACAACTAATTGTACAGATCTCCAACTAATCTGTTAACAGTTTTTTTTTAGTTCTTCGATTTCCTTTTGCATTATGACTCGAAGAAGTTTTACTACTATAATGAAAATTATTAGTAGCATAAAAGATAATGTTGAATAAATATAGCTACCTAAATTATCAAGAAGTCTTCGAAGTTTCGTTTTCTGTTTGATGTCAGAACATTTTATATAAGATGTGCATGGTTAGAGATAAAGACCGGCTTCTGTAATAGATTGTTCATCAGTTGTTTTAAAGATACTGTTACATCGGTAAGGTTTATCCGTATTATAAAACAGTCATATAAGCTGGCTGATATTCTGAATATTTGGTGAAGTTTTTTGAGTCATGTCACTTCACAAGTATTCGTAGTAGTAGATACATCTTCTGCCAAGAGTTTCTGTCAACGTGGTAATGTGGACAACGAAATAATGATAGGATCCTTGTCGCATTGAACAATAGGCGAAAATTTACACGTCTTTCGATCTTTCATTTCTCTCCAGGCTGTAATGGTTTTATCGATCGCATTCACGTAGATCGATGATTTGTGATAGATTCGAGTAGGATGAATCCATGGGAAACGTACCACATTTACATCAACTTCCTCAGAATTGGCTGAAACTTTCAAAGCTTGTAGAGCTCAACGAGCTGATCATTTTGGTAATAAATTGTTAAAGGTTTGATTATGGATTAGGATTGAAATGAGCAAAATACAGTTTTCAAAAATTCCCGAACATCAAGATCAAAGTGAAAAGTTCTGATTTTTGCGAGAACGTTTTCTCTTTTATTTTAAGATCAAAATGGAACATCCTATATATATTCCGATAGCCCACGCTCAGCTCTATCGAGCCATATATGAATCAAGACGTTCCTATTTCCTAAAAGAAATTTTTAACGGAACCGCAAGAAGTTCACTGCTACACAAACTTTCTCTCCTAATAAAAAACCTCTTCCGAATTCGGGTGAATTATGGTCTAGTAGGTTTTGTAGAGCGGGTGGGTCTGGGTGGATGAGTGTGAATGCGGGGTGTCGGTGTGGGATGGGGTGTGGATGTCGGAATGGGTGGATGCATATTCGGGTGTGCCTGTCGATACTGATATTTCTCTTCATACCCATCTAAACTCCAAAAAAAAATCCGTTTTCCCGCCCATCTAAACCTCTTCGAAAAACATTTCGAAAACCCATAAAGGTATCCGGACGCTTATTGAGTTTCTGAAAATACCTGCTGCGTTTCCAAATCTTCGGAAACTAATAACTTTCCAAGAATACAGTTACGCAAACTTTTGTCTGTATTCTCGGAGACTCTGGGCTATTCCTAAGAGCCGAAAGGTTTCTTCGGAAACCTTTTTTGATTCCAAAACCTTCTCGAAAGCTTAGACGCATCATTGAATACCTAATGGTGTGCGTGTGGGAGTGAGTGTGGGTGCGGGTGTGGGAGTAGGTGTGGATGTGGAAGTGGGTGTGGCAGTCGCTGTGGGTGTGAGCATGGGTCATTTCTGAAAGTACACCAGTACTCACACCCATACACCTAACACCCACACCCATACAGCCACATCCACACGACCCACACCCATAGCCACACACCTGCACCCATACACCTCACACCCACACCCATACACCCACATCCACACAACCCATACCCACACC